CAGTGAGGTTAACATGTTTATTCATTTGCTAAATAAAAATATATGCTGCAACTAACTCTACAGGAGCCGTGCTCACCGGGCACCAGAGGGCAGAGATGAAGCACTTCGTCCTGCCTTCAGGAAAGAGTGGCCTTGCATCACTCCAGGACCCCATTTACACAGTATTTTGTGTGAATGCTGCTCACTGGAGTTGTGCGATAGGACGTCAGGGATCTGGGTAAACAGCCCGTGCCATGGGGTGAGTAGGAAAGGAAGGAAGGAGAGTAAAACACAGGAAAAGGAGCAATCATTTCTGCCCAAATCAGACAATTTCATGAAGAATTTAAAGCCCTCTCATCCTCGAAAGCATTTCCTTTTGTGTATTTGTGGAAGAAATGAAGTAAGGATGTGCAAATTCTTGTTAAGGCAAGACATTTCTTTGCACCTTTAGACAACAAAGATGTTTCAAAAACTTTGTTTGGAGGCTTACACAGAGGTTGTTTTCCCTTTAATATACTACGTTCACCCAAAAGCGCCGCTTGTAGAGCCATCCGTGCCTATGAGTGGACATGGATTGTTCTACGGACATTTTAGATTTCCCTTGAACTTGCGTTTGTGTGTTCACACACAGTGATACACATGTCCAGGGAGGGAAAGAAAGAACTGTTGAATTGCAACAACAAAAAAATTATTTTAAGTTGACAGAGGCATCTCTGGCAGGAAGATGATAAGGGAGCCTCACAACTGCCCATTGAACCATCTGGTAGGTCAATGAAATCTCCCTTCCTCGCAGGGCTTTGGTCACAGGTGCCTATGATCACATCACTGGGGCCTAGAGACAGAAGTTATGTCAAAGCGAGAGTGAGGCTACAGCACTGCTCTGAGGATGCTGGGGAGACAACTTACTGAAAAATACAGCTGGGTCGCCTTCGCCATACGGAAGGGCTTTATGATAAGGATGGGTCTGCGTATTATTATGACGGAGGCGCCCTCAGATTTTTTTGCAGGGCGTGAACAGCCGAGCTACTGTCTGATTAAACAGTGCCTCCTGTCACGAGTGGCTGATAACCCACTCTCATTCCTAGTTGCTAGGTGTAGCCTAGTTAGTAAAGCCAACAAGCCAATACTGGAGTGACTGCCTTTGTTTGTTGGGAACAGCACACACCGTGGAAACACGATCCCCGTGCTCCAGGTTGGGAGGGTCAGATAGCAATAACCCAAAGCCGAATGAAAAGAAGGCATCCGGATATTGCCTGACCACCAAAGAAGGTGACCTAAAGGAAAGCGTTCGCGTTACTTGGGGTCCCCCCAACAGGGTCGAGTCTGCAGCTCCTCGCTCTGTTTGCATGGGGCCTGCCAAGTCCTTAACTTCTTCCATCCCTTTGCTTGACTGTGTTGCTAATGTTTTCACTAAGGAAATCGGCCATTCAGGAGCTCTATGCACCCGAATTGGCAGCTCGTCTTCAATTTGTCTCACTCCTTTTGTCTGTGGGCTGAACTGTGAACCTGCGCAGTCACTCACAGTGACAAGAGATGCACACTGACTCTCTCCAGACCCTTCCTCCAGCGGCAGCCGGCAGCCGGGGAGACCTTTACAACAGAGAAGCCATGAATCCAGGGCTTGTAAGGCCAGCGGGGAAACACAGCGGGTCTCCGCATCCTAGGCACGCCCAAGTCCAAGCTTAGCGGCCAATAGAAGCTGAGTCACTCAGCCAACCACATACATTTTCATTTTCTGCGGCTAAGGTTGTTCTCCAAACTGGCACTTGCCCCTAGCACACAGTGTGCACCTGGAAAAGATAACACAGCCTGGATCAGTGTTTTCAGAATGGCCAGGTGCGAGAGTCTTAGCTTGTCAAGAGATTCGTCATGTCACAATGGGCAAGCATCAACTTGTCATTTCTCTCGCTGCTTCCCCTAAACTTTCAATTGAACCAAATGAACCTGCACTCTTGGGAGGTCAAGAGAGATCAAACCAAGAAAGAACGGGGTTCATCTTAACAGAAAGCGTCGACAAGAATGAACATCTATGAGGTGGCTTCTATCTCCCAGGCCCTACTAGGGATGCTAGCTATGCTGCCTCTCTTAATTTTCATTCATGATGTCATGTCAAGGGGCGAGTATTATCCCCATTTTACAGGCGAGAGGGAGGTTCTGAGAGGTTAAAGAAATTGCCCTCGGATTTAGTGAGGACAGCTGAGACAGGAACCAACTCGTGTTTGTCTCTAAGGCCTGAACACTTTCCACTTGGCCCTGTGTAGATTTCGCTTAATGAAATCACTAGTAAGGCACACAGGTGGTTTAGTTGAACTAAAACAGAACAACAGAAGCTATTTCCATGTAGAAATGACCGAGTCAGGTCTTATATCATTACCCTACCAACTGCCTGCCTCCAGTGACTCTCAGCTTACAGTTATGTACCAATTCACTCAAGTCCTCAATATTTTGCCAATTTCCCGTTCCAGCTTTATCCCGATTGCTTTCCTTGCTCCCCAATTCTCCACTTTCTAGGTCACAGCTTAGATCCTCTCACTTACATGGCGACCAGTTGTCCGGTGCCACATTCTCTTCCAGAAATCATCGACCCCATCTGTAGAACCCAACCTTTCAGGCCCATTTTGAATGCTGCCTTGTTCATAAAATTTTCCTGGTTCCCCCCAAAGATGAGAACGCTTCTTCCTTCCAACTTCCACAGCCTCGAGTACCGACTCGAGGTCTGGTCCTACTGGTGGTATGGCTACTTGGACACCTGCCTGTCCTCCCACTAGGGCTGGGTTGGGGGCAAAGGTATTTTGCAAAGGACCAGACAGTCATGATTTTAGGCATGGCAGGTCACACTCTGCTGTTGTATTGCGAAAGCAGCCACAGACAATACCTAAATGAATGGGCCTGGCTGTGTCCCAATAAAACTTTATTAACAAAAACAGATGGCAAGCTGGAGTTGCCCTCAGTGTGCCAGCCCCACTGGTTCTCCAATGTCAACAACTGTGTGTTCTTTATGCCTATATGCCAGCTGCGCTGTCTAGGTCACAGGTAGCTCTCATAAATATTTGTGGAACTAAACAGAATTTTTTAATTGCTGGAAGCAGAGATGCTCTCTTCGCTCTCACTGAGGCCCTGAGAACCCTGCAGATTCCTCTCCTCCTGAGACTGTCATCTGTGCATGACACTGAGCTGCCCGACAGAGCCTCTTGACCTGCAGCTGACTTTCCTGCAGGCTCAGGACCTTGCCTTGAAGTTTCAAAGGTGGGCTGACTCCTAAGGAGCCATGAAACCCATTCTGTCAACCCCTCCTCCTCAAACTCAGGGAAAACACTGGTAAGGTTTATAGTTGTCGAGAGTCAACCTAGCCTGGGAATCTACTAATGGATAGGATGCTGCACAAGGTGATTTCTGACTCGAAGGAAAAGGGAATGTGGGTCCCAGGGAGAGAAGAAGCCCACTAAGACCAACTTCTGTCACTGAACCAGCTGGTTCCTAAATTTGTAAGTGATCTATAATGGAGGGCTGCTGGCCACTCGCTTCATGGTTATCTATAGGATAGATCTTCAGGGGCCTCGTATGAGATGATCAAAATCCCACTGACCACGAGTCGTCAGTCCTTTGGTTATAATCAGATACAGAATATAAAGAAGAAGCTCTCCAGGAAACTAGAGTGCCTTTAGTAGTTACTTATCTTTTTTTCATAAAGAAGTACAGCTGACCCTTGAACAACATGCGTTTGAACTGCGTGGGTCCATGTATACGTGGAATTTTTTTTAATAGATATACAGTGGGTCTTCTGTGTCTCCAGGTTTTGCATCATGGATTCCAGGTTTTGCATCATGGATTCCACCAACGGTGGATTGAAAATCGTATTTTCGATCTGTGATTGGGAATCTGTGGATGAGGAGGACTGACTGTATGCCTTGTTTTACACCACGCTACATAAAGGACCTGAGCATCTGCAGATTTTGGCATGGGAGAGGAGAGGCAGTCCTGGAACCAGTCCCCTAGAGATACCAAGGGGCAACTGTTGCTAGGTGTTTGGGGGAGTCAAAAGCTATCCGTGGATTTTCAACTGCATGGAGGTCAGCGCCCGAACGCCCTCATTGTTCAAGGGTCACCTGTACATCTCTTGTTCTTTTTGTCTGGGATCATGGCTAGAAAATCACAGTGGATAAAAAGAGATGGTATTTAAGCACTGACAGATTAAGAAGCAATTGGGGAGGTTTAGTGACAAAGGAAAACAGATAGCAACTCCCTCTCCCCTACCTCTCTGATGGCCAAACTTTCAGCAGACCCAGAGCCAGCTGCTCTGTGTAGAAGACTGCAGGTTATTGCAGCAGATAGGCAGAAACTGAGTCGACAGAAATCACGTTCTCTGCTGCCCAAGCACCCAGACTTTTCCACCCTTGGCTAGAACCATCAGCATAACACAGCTCTCTGCTCTCTGCCTCGTCCCCCCACCCCCCACACACACCCTCAGCCCCCTTCTCCATGCCTCCCCACCCACTCCTTTCAAAAAGAAACATGAGGTTATTTTAAAGCTGTGACCTGGGCAGGCCTCTTGGGCAAGCCCCCTCACGCTGCTTTCTGGAATAATTCTCACTGTACATCTGCAGCAAAGCTGCCACAGCATTCACCTATAAAATAAACCTGTGCTGCTATAAGCAGACGGGGATGGGCACTCTGCCACTATGAAAAGCGTACTGTTTGATCATTATTATTATTAGATTACACTCATGAGTATCATGTAAGACGACTGAAGGGAACTCTTGATAAAAAATAGCCCCCGCGCATCCTGTGTGCCTCGCTTCCATTCCTTTTAGTGACTTAGAAATGCTGGGAGTATGATTCCTAATCAAACCACTTAGACAAGGCCCTCGATTCCAGGCCCTGTGGCCTGCCTGTTCCACGGTCTCCGGGCAGAAGCTTGCGGTCCTGCCAAGTGGAAGGAAATGGGGTGAGGGGAGCAGCGGGGTGGGGAGCAAAGGAAAGACCTGTGTTCAGCAGGTCCCAGAGCTGACGGTATTACTCACATGTGTTGGGAAGCATTGGGGTACAGTTTTGAGAACTGTGGGGCCGAGTCCTCGGGGCCGTGGGGCGCAGCGTGACTGATCACCATCATAATGGGCCTATGGGGATACATTCTCTTAGACATTTTGAAGTAATTAATGCTCTCGTTAGTGATTAAGTCTGTGAAGTAGTCCTGAAACATACATTTGACACAAAACAAAAATTACAAAAGGTGACATTCATCAGATCACATTTGAATACTTCTTTCCTCAGAAGCAACCCAGTGAATGACGAGGGAAGCTCTAAAGCAGGAAGGAACACTGTACTCCCTAAGACAGCAAAAACACCTTCCCTAACTGAGAGAATCAGTTGCCAGTGGCTTTCTAGGGTTGCTAGCTCAGCATCGTGCAACAAATGTATTTTAAGTAATGCACAACTTAGCAATTAGGAAAGAAAAGTCAAGTCCTGTTTGCCCAAGATAATGATCAGATCTGGCAACCGAAACGGCTAGAGCATATGAAACACCGGATACATGGTTCATTCTCAGGTTTCGTTGATGTAATCCATGGACAAAAAATTTAATTACTCCAAGGGCAGGAAACACCCACACTCTCTACATATTCACAGTTATAGAACACACACACACACACACACACACACACACACACGGAAAGATCTGTTCTTCAAATTAAAAATTCACCTGTGGGAATTCTACAATCATTCCTAAGGAAAACCTTGGTCCAAATCTGGGTGCACAGGGAGAAGCTGCAACATTGTATCAATTAATGTACTTGAAACACTAAATATGGGAAGCAGTTGATTTCCTGCAGGTTATCCTCTGTTCCTTGCACAACTAAAATGATACAGCTGCTGAGATTAGAGCCTGGCTTGTTAATAAAATGACTTAACCTGCAGTCCAAGGGGCTGATGAGAGTCTACAAGGCGGGGATGGAGGAAATGGAATGAAAAGGAAAGATGAAAACTTAACTTAAACCACCTGCTTCTCTAAGTGTGTATCAATGGCCTGGAGCTGCAGCATAAACTTCAGAAAGTGCCCAGGCAGGGTTCACAATGTCAGAAGCTTCCAGGCATGACTAATCACATATAGATTTAAGAACCAGAACAGCTGCAAAGAGCAGCAGCCAAGGAACAAAAATCTGTGTCACATGTCATTGTTAGGACAAGTCCACAGGCTATCACCTTCTTTCATGGGAGTGTCAGTTTCATTCTTTGCCTCACGTAAAAAAAGATATATCTTCTTTTCGGACACAGTTGTCTTTGACACTTAATCAGCTGTGATAATGGGCAAGTTACGCTGGTTTACTCTTTGGAGGGAATCTTGATTACTTAGCTCTCCTTAGGACAACAGGGAGAGAAAGGTTAACGGCTTGAACCAGGAGCAGGAAAAGCATCCCCACAGATAAAAAATGATAGCAATGACAATTAGGGGACTTTGGAGGACGTTGCTCAGATCTGCCTCCAAGGTCCCTACCAGCTCTCAACTTTGATGAGTCTGGAAACCTATTAGCAACGTCTGTGAATTCATTTGCGTTAATGTTGTTTTCTGAAGGGTATGAAAGAGGGAGACTTACAAGCAATCTCCCACCAAGTCCCTCGTGCTCAAATCAGGTCAAGCACAAAGACACTGATGTACTAAAATGAAATCAAGTCCCCTCTTTCTGATCTCTACCAATGCCTCTTTCTAGTGATCTGCGCTAAATAGAGCAGATTCTTGGCTTTTTTGAGGCAAATGAGGAAGAGATGGGTATGGCTGGAAGGGAAGAGGATATTTTAGGCTAATTAGAGACTCCATTCAAAGATATTTTCCTCTTCACTCTTGTGATCTGAAAATCATTTTATTTACATTGGCAATCACAGAGCCTTTGTGAATTTTAAAGTCTAATGTGCTATCTATTCGTTAGAGAACCGTGGGACATGTCAATTTCAGTTTCGGTGAACTAATTTGGGAATCCTAGGATTGATAGGCTTAGAGACTTTTGTGGACTCTGGCTGCCATGGGGTAGGTGTCCTTGTCACATATCTAAGCTTGGTCAGACAGGAGTAAAAGCGAAGATCGTCGTTTCCCAAACTTTGATTATCCTGCTTGTCTGCTCTGATTCTTACATCTAAATCTGAAGACAAAATAGACTTTCATCCTAATGAAAAGCAAAATAGTACAAGATGAACATTTGATTATGTGGACAAGTCCTCTGGGGGTGGGAGGGAAACCAAAAATTATCACAAGGCAGAGTGGATGCATCTATGATTTCTCTGATGATACATTCATCAAAGGCTGATTGCCTTGTATTCTAATAAGTGTGTGTGTGCGGGGAGGGCGGAGATCACTACATAATAAAGTCAGGGTTCCTTGAGAGTCTTTTCTTGCCTGGAGTTTAAAATTACCTTAGCATTTCTCATTCTAACATTGTGAGAACATAGAAAGCCAATCGTGTGGATAGGTTAACTCACTGAAAATGGCTGTTCCCCATTATGCACAAAGTAAATTGATGCAGTGTAAAAGGGCCTGAAAATTACCTTTGCATAATCAAATCCATGCTTTTCTTTGATGCCATTGCGACAAACAGTGTAATTATAGAAACGAGAATTCTTAATTAATCCAAGCCATTCTCGCCACCCAGGAGGGATGTAGCTGCCATTATATTCATTGAGATATTTTCCAAAAAAGGCTGCAATGGGGGGGGAAAAAAAGGATTATTTTCTCATATGACATGATTGATCATCAATAAATACAGAAACATGACATGATGGCTTAAAACAGAGAGAGTAAAACAAAAGTGAACCTAGGTAATCGCAGGTGCCAGAATAACATTAGTGGAATATTCCAATCCTTTGGGAAAGTGACAGACACACATTTTCCTTCTGCATAAATAAAAGTAGCCCTTAAACATATGGATTCTCGTTCAGTAAAATCACCATAACGACCATGGTACACTGGGTGCAGCTATTCTTGTGGTTCCACGGGGGATACCAGTTGAACATACCCCTTTGTTCAGCTGAAGGAACAATCAAGAGAAACAGTCAATGTGAGATTTAGAATGCCACCCCAGGGCACATACTGGAGAACTGAAAGTTCCGTCTTTGTGATAAATGACATTTCCTAACTTAACTGTTGGAGAGTTGTGAGTTATAGAAACGCGACGGAAAAGCTTGTCTTGGTTGTTGCATATCCGGAGAGCACAAATTTTGTGGTAAACTCCGTTTTTATGGGATGAGGTCAGGGTTTTTACGTCACGTGTATTTTATGGCATCTGTGTTTACATTATGTGTATTTAATGAACATGTATGTCTACTGATAATCAAAAAACTCTGGCAACATGGAGTTACTACATAGATAACAAAGTTCCATAGAATTATATAACAGGAGTATTTGCGCCAGAATCAACGCACTGCTCATTGAAAAAGCCACTGGAAGGACTTCACATTTCTAACTTTGGCATGTCACTTCCAAGAAAGGCCACTGGGCCTCAAGTCTTACTGATGATTGTTTAAGAGAGAGGGACACTGTGGATTTGGTCCTCTGCCAAAGATGATGATAGGAGAGGAGGAGAGTAAGGTGGGGTGGGGTTTCAGGGACACAGGGGGTTTGATCCTGAAGTAGGACATCTGCTAACCAACAGAAATGCATTGTTGGCACACTTGAGAAAGAGGGTGAGATTTGTAATTATTGTAATTACACCATGAAAACAGATATAACCAGGCATTATTCAGGGTATGCCTAGATGTTTGATCACCTTATCAGACACACACATAGCATTCCCCTCAAGTATGAAGGACTAGAGAACACTGTATTTTATATATGTATATGTAGGTATACCTATGTGTGTAGGCATGTGTGTGTGTGTACACACACACCTATATGTATACATACATACACACATGCATGCAAGTTTTATTTTTTTCTGATTTTTAAAAGGCTGCCATCTTTAATCGAGGGACAGACCATGTCCTCTGCCTTCTGTGTCAAAGCCACTCCCCACCTCATTATGCAGGCTTGACAGGTGCCTCCACTTACATACATGAGGAAAAATAGTTCCTGGATGACTGGATTGGGATGATAAAAACAGATCCTGGAATCCAGGCACTTCATTGGTATTGGCCTTAAAGCACACATTGCTGAACTTTTTTTTACATTTTCTTAAACGAGTTATTCGTCATATATCATTTCTGTGTCTTTAAGCGATAGCTATTTACCGTGCTTTCATCTTTGATCTACAACCACCTTTAGAATGCCTCCCTCTGAATGTCTGACTTGCCCCTAATGCAGTCGTCCAAACAGAATGATGTTTCCTCTCCCAAATGTACTTCTCTCCTCAGATATCCTTTCATTCTCTGAGTGTGCTAACCACACCCTGCTGTTTAACCAGGCTTGGCAGCCCAGAGCCTTCCCTGATTCCATTTGCTCCTTTTCTGCGCCCGTCCGGCAGTAGCCACCACCCGTGGGTTCTACCTGGGTCACAGCTCTCGAACCCTCCCTGATTACATGACACCCCTCCTGGATGCCCGTCATCTCCTGACCAGCTTTCTTCGCCAGGCTCCAGTCTTTCTACTCTCACCGCCACCTTCCTGAATACCAACTCCGGTCACATCACCTTCCTCGCACCAGAGGGCTCCTTCTCGCCTGCAGAGTCACGTTCAATTGGATAGCGTGCCATCCAAGGCCTTCCTTGGGTCTGAACAAAATCCCTTTTTCCAACCCCATCTTGCGTTCCTGTTAACTGTCCCTCTCCCCAGCTCTCTTTGCTCTGGTTTCCACCTCTCTGCCTCTGTCAGTGCAACTCTCTGCATCTCCCTCTGTGTGTATCAAGGCCAGAGCACGTGCCATTTCACTCCCAAGCTTTGTGCCAATCCCACAGCAATCTGTGTCGGTGGCTCTAATGCCATCTTCCCTTTCTACCTCGTGGTAGAGTCATGTTCACATATAAGCCTCACCCTTCTTAGACTGTAAGGGTTTTGAGGGCAAACATGGCCTTTGCCTCATCTCTGTGCCCCCACCCCCATCCTTGCACAGAGTATAGGGACTCCATAATTTTTGTTTCTTGAACTGGAAATAGATGTCCCCCCCCCCTCCCCAATCATGTCTTCTGGGGATTCCGCAGGTTCCAGACTTGTTAAATGTTGTGTTTTCACTTGAATTATAATGGTTTCAAGCCGATTTGGTTGAAATATTTTCAGAGAATAGAGATTCAGAGTTGCTGGAGTGGATATTTCTCAGATTTATGTTCTTCGAAGGGTTGACGCAAGTCAGAGGAACACGACAATGTTTATTGATTTGTTGAATGAATGTGTTTCTCTCTTGAATCTGTGAACCAGTGAGTCAATCAAGTTGTCACTTAGCCAAACGCCCACTGCTGGAGGATTCTGCCAGGGCCCTGGAGGATGTGGACGGGTGTAGGACCAAGTGTCAGAGGCTCTCATGTCATCTATGACTCAGGATTTCCCTCCGAGCTGACTATGTTCAGTAGGAATTCTTCTAATGAGCATTTCTTGTCCTCAGAGATTATCCACAGAGAACCACAACATGATTTTCTGACAAAAGGCAACATAACTTGGGAGTCACAGGCAGCTGACCGAGAACACACCCCACCAACATTACCTCAGAAAGGGTCTGTTTCCAGGAACCTTCCATTTAATGAGCTCAGGTGCCGATCTCACCTCTGGCCTGCTCCTCAACCCTGGGAGTTGATTCCATTTTTCTCTCCTTTTGTCTTTAAAGAAGTAAGAGTATAGTGGTTTGGGATATTAAACCCGAGAGCCAGCCCACTGAGTTCCAGTTCTGGCTTGCTCCTTGCTAGCTACGCATCCACAGGCAAGGTACTCGACTGTCTCCGCCTCCAATTCCCTTTCTGTAAAGCTGAGGTGGTGATTAATGACAGTGGTAGGGTGGTTGTCAGGATTAACAGAGTTAAGACACATGTATTGTGCTGAACACAGTGCATGGCACGTAACAAGCGCTTTTTAAGTGCTGCTATCGCTAGTGTTATCATCAGCACCGCTTTTATCATGACCCTTTCAACTCTGAGCTCTGAGTTGAGGTCATTCACCATTCAGCAGTGCAAGGGAACCTCGTCCTCGAGTTGAAACATTTCTTGAGAGGTTACGTACTTTTCTTTCCCAATCCCACTGTTTTTGTGGCAACCAATTCTCGCCCATGTGGCTTACATTTTCCTGCTTGATTCGTGTTAAAAGCTGTCTTGTTACTTTCAGTTTTAGTTTTTGTTTTTTCCTCTCAGGGCCGCCATGCCAAGTCGTTCCTGCCCTCCTCCGCATTGTTTCACTCGTGAGGTTATTTTGTGCTGTTTCTTACCAATTTGCCACGGCTAGTCCCTCTCCTTAAATCCTCCCCTTGCAAACTATTTCTGCAAGTCTCCTAACTGTGCTTGTTATTCATGTCAGATCGCCCTCCAGGTTTTTGGTGTCTTTGTGTTAATGGAGTGTAAAAAATGTACTCAGTATTCCAGATGTGCCTTCACCCATCACACTTGTTCCAAGAGAGACCGGGACCTCATGAGTCATGGTGTGGCACCCCAGCGTTGGCAGCTTCAAGTGACGCTGGCCTTTCTTGTTGCCTCCTGACATTGAGACTCATTTGTAATCGCCCCTGGCTTCTTTCAACATGACGCTTCCTGGTAGCACTCTGCAATTGATTATCTGGGCTTCTAATTATTTTCCTCCAGATGTATTAAATCTCTTTCTCCCTCCCCAACATGAATTTCATTTTCTTGCTCATATTGCCTTTAAATTATGTGTAGTTGGACGTTTTTCTCTCTTTTGGCATTGGCAATTCAACTCAACTTACTACTAAGCTATCTGAATATATTGCTAACATGCCATCGACCCATCCCTCGATATCCTTTTCTCTGGGATTCCATTAAAACGCATCTCTTCACAGCTGTTTAAGAAGGTGGTAGTGGGGGTTGAGTGACAGGGAGACAGATCAGAAACACTTGATTATAATTACTTTTGACTTTAGGCCATGATACTCTGTCTATGACTATCTGTTCTACAATAAGCAGAAAAATTATCTTGAACTATATGAAGCAAAGGCATTTATTTTTAAGTCAGCTTAAAAATAGTAACTACACAAAAGATTTCTGATGCTGTAGAGAAGTTAAATCTTGTTTAATATAAAAATGACATACGAACTGAGCTTTTACCCTATGTAATTGATAGACGTGGGCTGCAGGATTTCGCTGGTAGTAACTAAAAATATACATAATTTTGAACCAAGTGAAAATTATGATTTATGCTTATGTCGACTTGTATACATGAGTCTGGTTTCCCCAGTTAGATTGTAAGTCTAATGAAGAAAGGATCTTAATTTATATCTCTTCATATCCCAGTGTCTAGTATAGTTCCAAGCCTACTGTGGTTCAATAACTAGCATACTGTGGTATGCTATATCATGTTTAGGTGCCTACCAAAAATTTATAAACCCTAACTGATAAAAATAAGAATGTTCGTTTGCCTTACTTTAAGTACACTCCACATTCAAACAATCCCATATTAGAGAATAAGCATACTTGCTATAAGTAACATAAATTTTGTAATGTACTGTATTTTGCCATGTATAATGTGCACTGTGTTGCCCAAATTTGTGAGGGAAAAATAAGGATGCATATTATGCATGGGTAGTACTAATTCTGTATCTCTATAAATGTTTTAAATT